GGTGTGCGTATGGATTGATCTTATTTCGTTAAAACTCACACCCACACCCACCCAGTTGCTCTCATCCACATACACTCACATCAATCACACCCGCACCCTTAAATACAGTTAATCAGGTTCTTGTTGACATAGTTCTCATTTATCACTAGTTCATTTGGGCCTGCACCAAGCGAGATTTTATATGGAAATAGTAAACAAAAAGAAAAAAAAAATTGTGTTTCACAGTTGTCTGAGAGTGTCAACAGTTCACTTTTATTTGCACTTCCACAGAAAAAAATTGCTTTTATTTTTCTTTTCTTATTTTTCATGTGTAGTCTCAGAAAAGAAAAATCACCTCTTGCCATAGTGCAAGAATGAAATGGTTGTCACAGAAGAAACACATGTGTTGCAAGTGAGTTTTCGATCGTTTAAAATTAAAATAGAAACAACAAAAATTCGAAAAGTTTTGAAGAGAGTGGACTAGATAGTTGATACAGTTAGGTTGTTTTTTTTTATTTATGCATTTGATGTAACACTCGGAAGTGCTTACATGATGATATAAAGAAAAATTAGATATTTAAGCACTGAGCAACAACAAAAAAATACAATGAGTTTTATCATCGCCGACGGTATCTTTGTACCGAGTATTAACTCAACTGGCATAGGGTTTAAAAAGGTAAATACAAAAACAGCAAAAGAGCGAGGAAGAGAAAGGAAACACAAAGAGAGAAGTGAGAAGCGGAAAAAAAGGAATACAAGGGAGAAACCATCGAAACAGACGTGAAAAAAAGGAGAGCGAGGCGAGAAGAGAGAACAACAGCGAAGAAGGATATGCGTATGCAGTTCAAGGTCAGAAAAAAAAGAAGAAAGAAAAGCAAAAAAAATCACAAGAAAAGAAAAGGGGAATGAGGTATAAAGACATTACATGTGCTTTTCTTTGTTTACCATTAGTTTATTTCAATAAATGATATCCATTTTAAGAGAAGTGATTCGTGCTTTTGTATTAGTTGTCTTACTCGATTACTATGAAAAAACTGGCCAAGGTGATCCTTCTTTCTTTTATAAAAATCATCCCAAATAAAAATATCGTTATATAAGAGTGAACGACCAAGGTCCGTTGTGTGCATACTTTTTAATCTCCTTTGAATGTAGTTTTTAACGTATAGTTCTAAAGGATTTTCTTAGTCATAGTGTAAATTTTTTGAGCTGAGATAAAAGGGCAGCGATGCACAAGTCGGAGACCCACACGGAATTTCTGTTGTAATAATTGTTGATGTGACACAGGCAGCAAGGGAAAGAAGGGAAATATCCATGCAAAATGTGGGAATGTATATGCGAAAAAACATTGCCTAAGTGTCTTAGTAGACATAAAACGTTTTGCTCTCAACCACCTTAGCTTTCCCAAGGATTTCTGAATGTTCCCTATACATCTATCAATTGTTGGTCTCAAGGATAGTTTGCTTGTCCAAGTGAATCCTAAGTACTTGAATTCGTTTACTAATTCGATTTTTTGTCCATTCATTTCTATGATTACTCTTGGCTTTTTTATTTGTGTATAGAATAACTGTGCCACTGTTTTTGACACGTTTATTGGTTGCTTCCATTTTTTTGAGTATGCAAATATTCTTTCACACACTCGAGTACCTTCTTGTTCTAGATATTTGATCATGGGCTCTAGTTTTATTAAGATAGGGGGTCTTATTATAACACACAGATCATCGGCGAAAAGATGACCTGAATGTGCTCCTAAACATTGAACTAAATCACAATGAAACACGATAAATAGGTATGGACTCAAACTACTGCCCTGATGCAGACCAATGTTTATATAAAAGGTTTCTGATGACTTTTCTTCGAATACCACGAACCCTCTTCTATCTTTTAACCATGATATTATCATTTTCAGCATGTTCAGTGGTAGACCTAATTTCCATAGCTTTGTCAAAAGAGCTGCGTGCCATATACACGATCATAGGCCTTCTGATAATCCACATAGATAGCTAACGTCGGTATGTTCCCTGCCATATAGTTTTCAACCTCTTGATAAATTGATAACACTCTTGTGGGTAGCAAACATCGAGGACGAAATCCCGATTGCTCCGCTGGCACTATATGATTTGTCTCCGCCCAATATCTAACTCTATTAAGAATTAGTTTTTCGAAAAGTTTTAAATGTGTTGCTAGTAAGGAAATTGGTCGGGTTTCATCGCATTTTGGAACACCTGTTTTTAATTTATTTAGAGTTACTATTTTTGCTAATTTCCACACCTCTGGATATCTGCATTCGCTTAACCACTGGTTAAAACAGTTAACAAGGCATTCGATATAGCTCGGCGGAAGTCTTTTGATCATATAGTTTGAAACCTGGTCGAAACCTGCTGACATTTTTGGTTTAAGAGAGCGAATCAATCGTCTGATCTCTTCTATGCTTGTTTTCTCCATTTGTTCACTGGAAATTGATAATATCCTTGATATTTCGTTGAATTCACAGTCAATTTTCACTTCATTTGCATCTGAATAATCGATCGAGGGTGTCTTGAACTGTTCGCTGTAATGTTTGTGTAATTCTTCTATAATTTCGTCATGTTCAGATAGTACTTTATTACCCCTCAATAATCTATAAAATGGTAATGCGCGAGTTTTATAAATTCTAAACAAATAGGTCCAAAACATTTTATCCTTCTTATCATGTGTCTGTTGAATTGTTACTAAAAAGTCTTGCCATTGAGCCGCTTTATACTTTCCTATCTCATGTTTTATTTCTCTTGACATGACTCGTAGAAGTACTCTTGTTCCTTCACATAAAATGCCTCTTTGACGTAGGTGATAATCTTTATTCCTTATTTTTCTTACTTCCTTTTGTTTCTCTATTATATGATACGGCAATGTTGGCCTATATTTTTCTTTTTGCTCCCATTTCGTTACTCTGTTCTTAACAGCTGCTATGAAGCGCACGTATTGACTATACCATTCATCTAATGTTGTTCTCTTCTGTTCTTCTACCCAGAATGTTTGAAGTAGGACTAAAATAGCTTCAAACGCTCTCCAATTTGTATGAGAGAAAGTGCCTTTCATATCGAAAAAAATATTTTCACATGTTAGAACAATAGGCCAGTGATCACTAGTGCCGTAGTGCAACGTTTCACATGGTATGGTTGGCATATTTGAGAAAGATAAATCTATATTACGTAACGAGCGCTTGGATGAATGTGATGTCGATGGAATGTACTTCAGACTATTCTCTTCAATCCAATCTTTCACTATTGCCCCTCTCTGATCTGTTGCAAGACTGTTCCATTCTCTTACTGTTGCATTAAAATCACTGGTGACCATGGTACATTCTACTATAAATGGAAGAATATCATCCAGATTACGTTTTTGACTATTTGGCCAGTAAATTCCTATGACGCGTACTGGCTCCAAGAGTCCTGTAATATCAATAGCTACTGTATTTGGTATATCTACCTCGATGCGTGATGCCTTTAGGTGTTTTCCTACTGCTATACAAACACCACCACTGTGATTAGTACCCTTTTGATAAAATATGTTGAAATGCGGTAGTTTATTTGTGTTCCACAGGTCACTCACTTCAGTCAATATGCATATGGATGCTTCTATTTTGTAAACTAATTCAATAACTTCAAGTGCTCGTGTACCCCACCCTTCGACATTATAGCATATTAGCTTTAGAGGTACATTAATGCTGTTATGTATAGATATACTATTATTTTCCCATTGATTTACTACTGAGTTCAAGGATCGATTGGCATACCACTCATTTAAAACCTCAAACACTAATCTTTGATTGCTCGTTGAAAAATTCCATTGCCTTAATTGGTGCAACGCTTGTTCTACTGGGTTAACGAAATATGTATTTTGAGGGATAAAGGGAAGCGCGTGCGGATTAAGCGATGTATTAAAAATACTTATGATTGTTTCACGTATTATTGTTGTCATTGATTATTTCTTCAGCTGTTGATGGTGATTCGACATGTTTACGCCTTATTTCATAGTCTTTGCATAAATTAGTTTTCAATTCAGTCAATTTATCATAGATAGATTGTTGACCTGATGAAGACTTGAATAACGCCGGATTAACTTGTCTCGTAATCGGTCCAATAAAATCATGAATGAGTAGACGAACCTGATCTATCAATTTGACTATTGTAGTTTGGTGTAGTACTGTATCTAGAGCGGTCTGATTCAATTTGACCTCGATCCTTTCAAGTTTTTCTTCTATTCTTCTATTACTGTCACGCATAGCGGCCAGATTTTCATTTATAAGAAGAAGTGCTTTTGAGCCGACTGAATCATCGGTACGTTCTTCTGTCTGTACATGATTCCATGCTGTTTGTCGAGGATTTTTCGATTCTCCCAGCGGTGGAAAATCTTGGTCATTCAAACTAAAAGCCAGTTGCTGTTTTGTGTAATCATTTCGCTGTAGTTTTCCAGACTCTAAGGCTTTGTTTACATCTTGTTTTAGATCCGACCGATATTGTTGTATGACATGACATTGACCATGCAGCGAGTGATGATCACCACCACATTGTGCACATTTTTGTATTTTAGTTCAATTGTGTTCTTCTTTTTTCGATATTTCATCTAGACAGACTCGACAGCGTTGTAAACTATCCTTACACCGTTCACGTATATGACCTATTTTCCAACATTTAGTGCAAAAAGTCATACGGTATCCTGTTAGAAAAGGAGTGATGGTAAGCCAGCAATTACAAATCGAGATACGACCAAGTTCAAGAGCTGTATTATATTCTATTAAGTCCGTTACAGCGAAGTTGAAATCGTTGGATTTCCGTTCATATGAATAGTGTATTTGTTTTATATTATCGGCTGATGCAATTGTACGTTTAATTTCTTCCTTAACTAGTTCAAATTCCAGATCACGTAGCACATATCGAACGACTAGAGCGAAACAGTCTGGAATATACTTCGGTTTAGTAATTATAATTGGTATATTATTCACATTCGTCGGCCATTTGTTTGCTGTTAATAACACCATGTAATCATCGTTGTTGTTTACTCCTAACTTCAAACGATTGCTTGACCATCCAACTAATGAAGTGTTGAATGTTAACTTTTTGTTCTTTGAAGTGCTTTTCAATAACAGTTCCGGCTTCAAAAGCTGATGGAAACTGCAGCGAAGTATTTGATTGTACGAATTCGATGAAGAAACAAGGTAAATTAGAAGATACGGCTCGTTTTAGTTGATCGAAAGGAAGTGATTTTCGTTGTTGTTGATTAGCCGTCGTCGACTCTTCTATTTCCATGAAGGTACCTTTGTTTGATTTGTGTTGTTTTGGAGCAGAACTGATGGATCCACCACTATCGTTAAGTGGTTGGCCACGTTTTGGAGTTGATGATTTGTGCTGAATATTTGTCTTAATATTTAAAATACAAGGAATTTGCTGTTGACCTTGACAATTTTGCCCATAGTTTAGTTGCTGAACGGGTTGTTGTGCACCACGAGTTCGTGTAAATTCAATAACTTGATAGAAATCATGCGTTATATGAGGATTTTGTGCTAATGAACGAAGAAAACCTTCTCGTTGTTCCATTTCGTTTTCATCATCATACATTGTTGGGTGAGAATAATGTTGCTGATGTTGTACATTCATCAGGTGTTGATCATTCATGCCAAGTTCATTTGTAGTAGCTTGAGCTGGACGCACGTTATTGTTTGATCTATTCATTCCGACTAATTGAAAATTAATTGAGGACATAAATTCACCCCTCCGTGTAATACGGGAGGTATTTGTGAGATATGAAGAGAAAAGGGTATGTAAGCGGACGAGCAAAAATGCGACCGCTCTCTACGAAGGCAGATGAAGAAGTGAGGTTGTTTTTAGATGTGTATAGATTTTAATATGCCAGTTATTGAGTAGTGTAATGACTAAAATAGTTGATCAAGTTTCATGTCTTCCTGGAATCTTGGCAGTTTGAAAAATTAAACTTCAGCGCCGTGAGCAGAAGCCGCAATGATGGACACCTGAGTGCTGTGGTGACAAACCTTTATGATATGATAAACACTGTATTCAACAATTAATATTGGGACCCTTATTTTGAGTCTTTTCATTACTGTCTTGCGAGAAACGTTTTTTCTGTTACTTTTCCGTCTCATTTTCCGTAGGAAAGAGAACAGAAACGACATTAAGCGTTAGCAATCCCGAAAGCTTTTTGTCTTATTTTCCTATACATTAAGATGTGTTTATATAATGACTTTTTATTTTCTTTTGCGTCATTAACCGGTAGCTGCTCCCGATCAACGGGTCGAAATGTCTATCGCGTTACAGCCGGTGTAGGGATGCCAGTTTCTGAGATTTATTGTAGGCAGTCGTGAAGATTCCCTATGCTTGTGAGTTATAAGACTTCGTGAAAACGTTATTAAACGATTCAATATTTTAATCATAAAATATGGCCAATCAAACGATACTACGCTATTTTTGAAATTTTTGTTTTCTCACGGTGTTCAATCAATTGAATATCATTTTAGTTTAAAAACAATTTAATATCTTGAAATATTTCCTTGTAAAATGGAAAAGAGTCAAAAACTTCGTGTTGCAGATAGTGAAACTAAAATCTATTCATAAAATGTTCACCGTATACGATTTATACAGTGGTCGATTCGAACATGTCCCAAATCAAAAACGGAACTCGGTGCGAATCTTCATCAGTTCTACTTTTACGGGTAATCATGGTCTTTATAAAATGATTATTAAAAGAAAAATTCTTACTCTGTCTCTGTAGATACGATCGAAGAGCGCGATGCATTTATTCGAGATGTTTATCCAGAACTGCAACAATACTGTAAGCAAACATATAACGTACAATTTCAGGTCTGCCATGTCGTTGTAATTGACATTGTCAAAAGACTCGAATTATTCTAGTACTCTGATATGCGTTGGGGTATTCAGGAGCATGCAGCTGATGACCACTCTACATTAGACTTATGCCTACAAGAATTAGATCAATGCTGTCGTCTTTCATTGGCTACGAGTTGTGTTGTGAGTTGTTTATCGTTACTTAGAAAGCAAAATTTGATTGTGTTAGATTCTATTGAGCCATCGGTATGGAGGTCGCATGCTGCCAGCTCGCATCAAACAATCTACGTTTGAAACTCTCGCAAATGTTCTATCTGCTGAAGATAATGCTTACATCAATCAATTTTATCAACTAGATAAAAATCCACTTGAACATGTCTATGTTCTTCGATCTATTGATCCAGCTGCAAAAAAGGAATGGAAAGCATCTGAGATACAACTGCAACTGATCTTACGCCGCGCTTCTGATCTCTGCCTACAAATGAAGACAATCAGTGAAGACGAACGAAATGAATTTCATGTTTCCGGTAAGTTTATTTGCATGTTTTTTTAATTTACATATTGATGAACTTAGTGACGGCAAAAGAAATTTATCGAGCATTAGAAAATAATAAAAATGATCGACAACGAATGATCGTCTGTTTCCGAGAAATCGAAGATATCGATCAACTTGATGCAAAGTTAAGGTCAAAATTTATTGACACGACTAAGGAAATAGAGAAATTATTCAACGATATGAAAATCGCTATTCTAGATGCTCTTCCGACCGAAAATATATTAACCTATCGGGTATATAGCAATGCAGTTTTTATTATTTGAAACAAAATTGTTGTTTTACAGGTAAAATGGAATGATACATCTAGTAGAAATATATATATGGACAAATTCAAACAAGAACTTACTGATGCTATCAAACGACAACTTGATTATCATTTGCGTGAACTGATTTATACTGAAGAAAACATGCATATAAATGAAAAGATGCTACAAGTACAGCCTCGATTCAAAAATATTTTATATGATGAAGTTCTTGAGCATGCCGTTCAATGTAAAATGCTTCATGAGCGTTACTGCCCACGAGAAGACATATTGGGAAAGGTAATGAGTTCTGATTTACGGCATGCGAAGTTATGTTTTCATTGGACAATATCATCTCAAACGAAGCTTCTTGTATTAAGTTAAATTTGTAGACAGTGACAGAGCCAGAATTTTGGGCTATGGTCTCAGCACTTTAGCGCCTCCTGCCCCTTCCCC